GTTAACCCATTTCCCAGCATTTTCCAGCCTGACGAGCATGCCCGACACAAATGGGGCTTACCAAATTCGATAGGTCGCGCGGCGCCGCGCGAGCCTCCGAGAGATGGACCGGAGTCGTCGACCGATGTCCACATCTTTCACCTTCATTTTTACCCTGGTACCAAATTGCGGGGAACCCCCCGGTGAGGCCTTATAAGCATCAGCGGCACGATGGATATTCATTGGGCGTGAGATACGGGGGAGAATTTAGTTCGCCGAGAATTTCAGAGATAATTGCATATTTTTATATATTTTTATATATTATATATTTTAGGTACATAATTCCGTATAAACTATCGATGGTGCTGGAGAGGACGTTATTAATTAATTTATTGGTTCGTTTCGTAAAAAGAATGAATCCCTGAACCTTTACACGGTTTCCGCGAAGGGGTGGAGTAAACTTGTAGTACAGGGGTGAAGAGCACTGCAGTGGAATTCCTGTAGGAATTATGAAATTATTGGGGGGTTTTTAAAAGAATGTCGGAGGTAGTCCAAACTCAATACGAAATATCCAGGAGGTAAAACGGTTGGGCATTTGCTTGCGTTTCATCTTGGCGTCGCGGGAGTAATCCCCTAGGTACTTGCGGTACTAGGTACTCTCGGTGATCTACAGGATTTTTTCGTGTCGAGGTGATTTAGGGGAACAATTTTGACGGTATTGAGTATCGCTTAAATTTCGATATTAAAAATCGAGGGTCAATGTGTCGTTGATATTTCCTCTGGATACGAAAAATAGAAGGAAAGGTGGAAAGGCCACCATGTAATCTGTTGCTGGATCGCTAGGAAAATGAGTACCGATCCACTGTTGGCTTCCGATACGAATTTAATATGTCACCTGGAAGGGTGAGAAAGAAATTTTGTCAACAGAGGGTGACGATATCCGGTCAATTCGAGTCGCACGAACGGTTCCAGCTGGTAAGCTCTTTCGCTGGCATTACGTCCGTCGTTACCGTACCGAGGTCGTTGTACTCGGGGAAAGATGGCCACCTCGTCATGTTGTATTCCGTACACCTGGCGAGACACGAGGGCTCCCCTCGGCCATTCTTTCCACCCCTGGATGAATGTATACTTATCGAGCGATCGAGCCAATGTCGGCATGGCGTAAAGCCTTTCCGTCTCGCTCCTCGTTGCTCTAGGTCATGGACTGCGCGCCTCCCTTTCTTCAACAATGTACCGATCAAAATCCGACTTCCTTTCGTATAAGCTTGCACCCCAAGGTACTCCGGACGACAGAAAAAAATCCCAAGATACACGGAAAAAAATTAACTTACCTCATTCCACGCGTACATTTTTTTTTTTAATAAATTTTACATACCTCCTGACCATCTAAATGCACCGTTAAAAATGTTCACAAAGTCCATGCACCGGTATTTCATAACACCGGAGTAACATTATACCTCATCCGTGAATTAGTACCTGTATGTCATAAATGTCTGCGTTCATACAATGTAAATTAATGCGTTTCTCAAGTGAATTCAAAAAGTGTATGAAAAAATTTCGAAGAAAGTTGCAAAATCAGGTTATGATATTACTGGATTATTATTGACGATGTAGATTTTATGTAAAATATGTGCAATCTCGGTAGACCTAGAGTCTGTTGGGTATTTTTAGAGGTCGCCAGTGCTTGGGGTGGAAACTGCTGATAAGTTTTAACCCGACCGTTAAGAGGAACTATTCCCCAGCTGACTGATGCGTGCCAGAGACCTCGGTCTCTCTTCGGGGATCTCGCAGATGGCGAACTCGTCCTGTCGAAATAACTCCCCGATCGCGTGTGCGCGCGCACACTATGCAACGAGGGAAAAAAATAAGGGTCGAAAGGGAGGCGCCCTCGAGGGGGGGTCGGAGGGGGAATGCTGGCATATTGTTTCCCGGTGTTGCTCCTTTCCGGGATCCGGGACTCGGACATCCCCTTGTTTTTCTTCCCTCTCTCGTTGGCCGCCATTAGGACGTTTCGCCGACCGCGGAACACTCGGCGAAGGACCCTCCACGAAGGATACCGAGTCAATTAGAGCGAGAGCCGAATTTCGATAAACAAGAGGAAGAGATACGTTGATTAAAAGACCTTCGTCCTACATACCCGATTCCTCCCACTGCAGGCTGGGAAAAGAAAATATTCTGGATGAAATAGTGGATAAGGAGACCTGAAGAAATTATCTAGATAATGTGAGGGAGAGAATTGTTAAAAATTAATACATTTGTATGGATAAAACTAGTCGAAGGATGCCAAGTCAATTAGAGGGAAAACCGAATTACGATAAGCAGGAGGAAGAGGTACGGTGATTAAACAACCTCCATCAACGAGAAGTGAAGCCTTTATTTTTACTATCACAAACAGCTGTTATATTAACAATTACAATTACAATTTCCCTTTCCATTCTTCTTTGACGCGAAAATTTCTCAACGAGTTTTCCGAAAAAGCAGAAACGAAGGACGGGTCTGGATTTCGTGGAGGAATTCCGAATTGCGGGCCGTCGAGAAATTTTTCGCAAAACGTCCTACGTGGACTCGTAGGCAATGAAGCTCGATCGATCGGTGGAGTTAGGAATGCGGGGAAAAATTCGATTAGGAGTTAGAGAGAAGGCCGAGAGTGGCAAACGAGAAGTGGAGGAAAGGGAGACAGCCCGAGGGAGGGTTCGAAGGGAGCCTGGAACGGCAGGCGGTTACGAGGGGTCGCTAATCGCGAGCCTAGAAACCGGGAAACCGGGATCGAGGAGGGTTGCATCCTTCTGGTCCATCCTGACCAAGGACTGCGAATCGATGCCCGCGTCGCCTTGGTCGACGGCCGTCACCACGACGTAGCGATGAAGAAAATCAATTTTGGTCTTGCAGTTTTGATCTTGCACTCTTAATCTTGCAATTTCGGTCTTGCAGTCTTAATCTTGCAATTTCGGTCTTGCAGTCTTAATCTTGCAATTTCGGTCTTGCAGTCTTAATCTTGCAATTTTAGTCTTGCAGTATTAATCTTGCAGTCTGCATTTACCCAAAAGAGAGGACGAAGTCGTTCTACGGGATCCAATTTTTTATTCGCCCGACGAAACCGCGCCAACTACCAGGACCCAGGACTTTGAGAGATCTCGGGGGAGGAAGATTCGAGGGGGTGGTCCTCTTTTTACATCCCAGAAATTTCACCCCCAGTGCGGCCGAGATCGAGCGACTCCATTTCTGGTTTATAATGTACCAGATCGCGTCACGACGCCGCGGAAGCGCAATGCGTCATCTTCTTGTGCAGAGGGGTGGCTGGAAAAAGAGAAAAAGGAGGAGGGAAACTTCGTTAATCCCGAAGCAGGAGTCGCGAGAGTCGGTACCCACGGGGCAGCACATTCCGGCATCCTGGTCGAGCTAAATTGCGTTAGGAATTACGGTAAGGTACGTCTGAACCTTGGAAAAATTCTTGAGGGTGTACCTTTCTTTTAGGGGACCTCTTGAACCCCCGTAAAACCCGGAACGGCTGGTCACCTTTGGGGTGGACTTTTTACAATAAAAGTCGTTATCGTCCTTCCTGAAAACGAGACCCTTACCGAGACCGAGAAAAATCTTTTAAGCTCGTTTTTCCTGATAATTGATGAACAAGCGAAGACGTCATTCGGTAAAGGAAGACGGTATTTCGGTTCGGGCGTCAAATCATCCCTGAAGGAGACGCTCTCGGCGCAGGTGTAAAATCATTCCCGGGGGAAGATGGCGCCGGAAGGAGACCGGATCAATTTCCGGCGGCTTTTGTGCCACCTTTAAAAACGCTACGGCGAGCGACGTCTCGGCTCCGAGGGCGGAAGGGGTTGAAGAAGGTACGCCCTCGCGAAGGGCTCGGAAAAGGGGGTGGAAATACGGAGCCGAGGGCCGGGAACGTTCCAGGGGCTGGGACTCCGGGGAATCAGGCTCTTCCCATTAAGCGAGGCCTGACTTACCCCGAAACGCCCTCCCTCCGCTTCAACCCCTTTTCCCGAAAGGCTTCTCGGGGAAGAAAAAATCGTATTAACCGGTACTTTCGGCAAGTGGCGCCCCGAATATACGAGGCCTCTCGTTGCTCCATAAATGGGTAAAATGCGCGGCAGATGTGGATCCAATTCCGCGGAATAATACGAACTCGAGTACCCAATCGGGTAAGAAAATAATTCGCTACACCCAGAGTCTCCCTCGCCATAAACCGCCCTTTTGAAAATCAAACTCCACCTCCTAGAGATCAAACCCGGAAATGTCTCCGATTTCCTTTCAGAGCTAGGCAATTCACTTGAACGTCGAGCAGGACGATCGACCGATATCGTTCGAAGAAATATTCGACATAAAACGACGGGATGGAAAAAAAATAATGTAGCAAGCGGAGAGGGGATGATCTTATGTGGTGTTTAACGCAACGAGTTTTTACTTTCCACCGATCGGCGGGGCGATGGCGACCGATTCGAATCGACGCTTTCGCACGGCGACCATGACCCTCCCCCGGCGACGGAAAGTGGAAGGAGTCTCCTCGGGCCGATTTCCGTTGTATCCGGCCCGGCGGAAAGTGACGGGCCAATCGGCGAGCGCCCGGCCGAGGGTCCGTCGATACGCGCGGGGAGGGGAGGACGAGCAGCGAGGGGGCGGGTGCGCGGGCTCCTCGCAGGGTGCGTAGCGCGCGGGAGGGGAAATTCGGGGGATAAGAGAGGAGGAGGCCGGTGGAGGTGGTCGCGCCCGAGGGTGGGGGATGAAAGGGGAGAAAACTAGAGGGTGCGTGTAGGCCTGGGGAATCAGTCGCGGACTAGCTGCGTCGGGGCTTTTATCTATAGCTCCGAGAGAGCTCCGGCCGTCGAAAAGCCGACTCGGGAGTGCGACCCCTCGCGGATACCGCGCGACTCATCGCCGATTCGAATCTCCCGCCGGACTGTCCGCCCCAACGGAAAGTCCTTCCGCTGGAGCCCGCGCGTCACCTCGATCGGGACCTTACCGAACGGCGCGACGACATCGGAAACCAGTTGCCGGCCGGTCTCTCCCTCGCACCAATGGTTCGCATCGTGGAAGTCGTTGCGGCGCCTCGGAACGACCCTCGAATGGTGAGTGAGGTTAGACATACCGAACAAGAACTACCCTGCGCGCGAGATACCGGGATATCTCGCAATTTCAACTCTTATCATATCGATATAGACATTGAGACGTAGGTAGACCCATATCTCCCTCTCTCAGCGCGGGATTATCGGGTCTTATCTGCAACTCGGTGTCGTCAATCGTTTAATCACGTGGGATATGAAAGTCAATCGTGATGGCGGAATGTTGGGAGTATGTGGAACCGGGGAAAGGTGGAGTTCTTCGGAGATCACCGGTGAGGAGTTTTTCCGAGCTCGGGACGCGCTTCGATTTATCCTTCCCCGTCGAGAGTCCCGAGGGTTTACTCGCCCCCGTGGATAGGAGGCGCGAATCGAGGCGAGGAATCCGACGTTTCGAGCATCCTCGACGAGGCGGGAGGATGAAAAGTTGAACGTCAGGAGGATATTGGCGCGGGAAGAGCCGACCAATCCCGGGGCTCCGAATCGGGGCAGGACTCGCGCGTTCCTATCGAGAGCCTGTCGATTCTACGCTCGATTAGGAGCCAAGGCCTCTCGAGTGACCCGGTTCTCTCGCCTCGACAGGACCGACCTCGACCAAATTCATCCCGTCAGAATCAGCCTGGAGAAAATTCACATCGACAGAACCTACCTCGATAAAATTCACATCGACGGAACCTACCTCGATAAAATTCACATCGACAGTACCAACCTCGACAAAATTCACATCGACAGAACCTACCTCGATAAAATTCACATCGACGGAACCTACCTCGATAAAATTCACATCGACGGAACCAACCTCGAAAAAATTCACATCGACAAAATTCACATCGACAAAATTCACATCGACGGAACCAACCTCGATAAAATTCAAATCGACAGAACCTACCTCGACAAAATTCACATCGACGGAACCAACCTCGATAAAATTCAAATCGACAGAACCTACCTCGACAAAATTCACATCGACGAACCAACCTCGATAAAATTCAAATCGACAGAACCAACCTCGTTGATACGTCATTCGCTCGTAAAAAAAATCCGACCTCGATTGGAAAGAAGCTACTCTTCATCTAACCATCTAACCTAATTTAAGCGATATTTAGAGATTCGTTTCTCTTTCCTTTTTTTTTTCTTCTTCTACCGTTACCACAATCTAATCAATTCGCGAGGTTTATATTCGCAATGGAGACGTGGACTTCGAAACCATTGCCGACCCATCCACTACCCTTAAGGTGAAGTTTCAAATGATTCGGTGCACCCAGGTTGGAGCAATAAGTTATATAAATATTTAGACGTTTTATATATATGACCCTTTAATATCACCTTAATATCACCAGTAAAAAAATGAAAACGAGAAGAGAAATCCATTAAACTCCCTCACAACGTCCCAAACTCCAAATACAATACACATACAAGTGTATTAAAAATTCAGTGTTCCACAAAATCATCTCATGAATTATCGTGATTTTTTCTGGCTACCGTGTGAGGATTTCCCGTTCATCTTGCCCAGGGGGTTTCTTTTTTATCTCGCTGTGTCGCGTTATCAGCCGTGTTCGATTATCACGTAGACGAGTCGGGCACGTACGACGTCGCGGAAGTTCCGCGCGGTGACGTCGCGGCGACGCGCGTCTCCGCGTGTACGAGAGGCCATACGTGCAAGGTAGTTTTCCGAGCACGGCCGAATTCGAAGGAGCACCCGGAGGAACATATGGCGCCCTTTGACGGCCGTTCGACGACCGCTCCCCTTCTCCCTTCGTCCCTATCTCCGACACGCGCCCGTCACTTCCTCTCGTGCGCTATTTATAACGTGACTCGCGTGCACCCGCGACCGCAGGGGGCCGTGCATTCGAGCGTGCGTTATACAATCTTTCTACACTACCATTTACAATATCTCCCCCCACCCCGCCGCACCGGCGCCCTGCCTAGTGCAGCGGTGCCGCGACTCCAGCTGCTCAGTCGCTGCACGACCGCCGAGCGGTGCGCATCGCTCCCGGCTGCAGATCCCGAAAATAGGAAGAGAGAGGTTATTCCGTTCAATTTTTAAACATGGTTGAGAGCGCCGAAGGAAGAGAGAAAGTATACATTTTTTCGGAAGTACTTACCGCGCAATATATTATATATTATAGCATACATTGTGTAGTAAAGAGAGGCACCTCCACGCAAACATACATTACAGCATTGACAATAAGGGACTTCTCGGTTGAATTTCTTGGCGTTGATAGTCTTTCTTGAATTTGGGGGATGTGTCAATTTTTGGACAAAGTCGAATTGACGGTTTCTCCCGAATTTTAGACTCGCTATGATTTTCTGTCTGGATACGGTTAACCCTCGGATTAAAGTTCCGATGTCCTTAATTAATGATGAACTTGAAACTAAGCGGTTGGATTTTCGTGGAAGAAAAGTTGAATTGGAGATTTAAATTCTCATGCGAATGTTCCTTGGAGGGGTGTTACAAGTCGCAACCCTCTGCACCGGCAGTGGGCCGATGCAGGGTAGCTGCAGCAGCTGCATCTACTAGGGCGATCTGCGTCACCCCTCGTTCCAGATGATCAGGGGGAATTTATCACATGGCGTTTTCTCCATTTCTATACCGGGTCAATAGGACGTTCTCACGACGCGAATATGCCGTGGCTGGATATCAAAACGTATTTCCGTAACTCCTGGAGCAGCCGTTCACCTCGTAAACCGCCATTTGCATCTTTCCCGGATGCACTGAATGTGCACACATGCGTCATCGCATTTACGTGTTAACGAAGGCCATTTGGAAGTGCATTTACCGGGAAATAATTAAAAATGTGGAACGACTAGATTATAATTCCCGTCATATACTTACCCACGCGTGGATATATAATCGGCGATGTTTACATGAGAAAATGCACTTCCGTCCGGTTTTAATGAATTATTCATGACTTAATTATTCGTTAAAATTAACTGGCGTCGCGAAATAAATAATCCCCCACGCCGGGGGGGTGGGTGGGTGGATTTCGTAATTAAGCCGTGGGATTTTTACGATATGGGGATTCCTCGATAAGGTGCACTTTTAACCGGCATTCGGCGATTTCAGCCCAGCTGCCGATTCAAGGGCGTCAAGGCGAGCGGGTGACAAATCCTTATGAGTTCCCATGGATGGGTCAATACCGATCAATATGCGAAATCGCGTGCCAATTAATGCAGCGGCATACGCGTATGTGCTCGCGCATATCATCGCGGTGATACCGCCGCCGCATGTCGGTCGAGCATGTGTGTATATGTGGGGTGCATCGTCAATTGCCCAAATAGTTCAAATCCAGACGACACCCCTTCTGGAGGAGCCGGTTCCCACGGGACCCTGAATTCCCGTGTAAACCCTGTCCCACCTCTCTGATCAGCGAAGCCATTAGTTCAACAACGTTATCGCTCGACCAAAGAAATTCGATTCCTTAATTTACCCCTTAGGCGTCGAAAAATTCGCGCCCGCGATTTACCCATCCCTATGCCCATTAAAAATCCAATTGAAAAGTCCTCTACAACTTTTCCTCTACGGCGCATAGTTTGCCCGTAATAATTAATTGAACAAGTTAATCGAGGAATCAGACGCGAGCACGTCGGCCATCACGGAGAGAGCGCGTCGACTGATCGGCCCGCCTGGTTAGGTTAAACTTCGATTAATTATTACAGGTAAATTATGCACCGTATGAAAATATGGTACAGGACTTTTCTGCTCCATTTTGAGTAATGAAGGTGATATAAAATACCCGGGTGCGAGTTCTGCTGGATTCCGGGTATAGATCGACTTTTTGCCGAATTACTACTTTATGACTGCTAGTGATACCGTGGAATCTCTCTTTCCTGCTTTAAGGGGTGCGTTCTTGGGGGGTGGGTTTTTGTCGGCCTTGCGTCGTCAGACGCGGGGCGGGTTTCTGTTCGAGTAGGTGCTCGAAGCGTTTATCAAATGGTCGAGTAACCGGAATAATCGAATCCCAGGCCGGCTCTGGACCAGGACGCAAGATGGCGCGAACGTTCGATACCTCCTAACCGAGGCGGTAATCGAATAGCCCAGCATTCCCGACGTGTGCGGCCGCTCTCTCTCTCCCTCTCTCCGTCCCTCTGCTTCTCTTTATCTCTACCCCTCGGCGCATGCGCCCCTCCTGGGGGTGGAAAAAATACCTCCGGCCGCCATTGCGAAACCCAGAGCCGAATAACGTTTGACATTTAATGCTCGTCGAAACGTCGGCTTGGGTTACAATCGGCGGATGCGCGGATTTCATCGCTCTACGCACCCCTCGAGATCGATGCAACGAATCGAGTGCACCTATGCACTTGGCGGCAGAGTATGTGCGCGTACGTGGCTCTAGAGCCGCATTGACGGGCATAACTCTCTCCATGAACTCCGGAGAAATATTGCCGCAATTGTTGCGCCCATGCAAATCTCCCTTCTTTCCGGAAGCCGAGCAGGCTTTCGGCCTTACGCCAAGTGCGCGTTAACCGCGTGGTGCCAAGCCTCGTCGAGATTAGACGACTGGACTGGAATGATTTTTTTTTCTTTTTTTTTTTTATCAATCGAAGCAACTCCAATCTCCGACCCACCGAATAATTTCGAGGGACGAAACGGGAACCGCAGCTGACTTCATTTATTTCTCAGCGATTACATTGTTGATAATCTGGAATAAATTCATGAGACGTCCACTGGCTTTTCTATTTTGCGAGGTTTAAACAAAGGGATATAAAATGAAATTCGGGAGTTAATTTGCTGGCCTTGCGTATTTATTTTAATCCTCATGTCGGAGTTGTCATTCCATGAAATTTACGGGTTTAATATATTAATAAAAAAATGGACGGCGTTTGTAGATTCATCTTCAGCGTTTATTATTAGCTCTCATTTTTCAAACGATATCTGAACTGACCTCGCAGGTTGCGCTTATGTGATAAGTCGTTATCAGGCTCCCTGTAAATTTAGTCAAAGGATCCGTCGAGACGGATTTTTCATTTTCCTTTTTTTTTTCTTTTTTTCCCCCTTTTTGCCGGAA